TTCCACTGGATTTCTGCTGTGCTGCCAGCTCCCCTCTCCAGCCCTTCTCCTGTCTGCAGGGAAGGGCTGGCAGGGATCTCCACTCCCAGCCACCAAGGAAATCCTGGACGACAAAGCCAAATCCTATCCCCATGCCCTGCGAGCCAGCAGGCCCTGTCTCACCCTTCTGCTTCCTTAGCAGATATTTAAATATATTTAAAACAAGCAATAAGGCAAGAAGAATCAGTGTGAAGTACCAAAACCCTTTATTTTTCCCCCAAACCGTAACAACATTTGACATTATATCGATTTCATCATATATTTGTTATTTCTCTACGTTAGGAACCAGATACAGAAAATACAAACACGATCTGTTGAATCAAAGACGGCACAGCATTCCGTTAGAAAAAGAAACGAAAAACTAGAGGAGCAAGATAAAAATGGTGAAAAATAGTCATTCCCTCCAGCCCAAACTTTCCAAGAATCATCATCAAAATAGAGCAGTGGAAGTAGCTTCTCTTTCTAAACGCACTTCTGCTTTAAGAAAAAAGTTAGATTTATCTTTAGATTTCAAAGTAAAAAAATGTTAAACTATCTTTCAAGCAATTTTGGAAGTTTGCATAGACCCATTCCCTTTCCAAAAATATCAGCAATCTCTCTATAGAATCTGATATAAATCAAGTGCGTGCCTCATCTGAAGATCACCAAGCTCAATTAACTTTCAAGAAAATAAAACATGATCTCCCCTTCCCTTCCCTCCCCCCACAAAAATACGGGCTCTACCATTATTCCTTGTGTTTGAGGCAAGTTACGAGGCTCAGCCACACCTCTTGCTCACAGCTTCATCCAAATTCCTTTATTTATTCCCAGGTTTCCACGTCCGCTCCCTCCTGGCAGGGCAGGGGCGATGCAACGCAGAGCTGCGGAGGGCATCAGGCTCAGATGGTGCGGGTGGGCTGATGGACAACACAGCTCTCGGGAGGGAAGCGGGGGGGCGGAGGGGGGGGGAATTTTGCCCTCATCAACACCCCCAGTGAAGAAGTGGCTTTTCAAGGACAAACACCTGCGACCAGGCAGTGTTTGCAGGAACTTGCCCCTGGGGACCAGCCTTGTCCACAGGGCTCAGTCACCAGAGCAAGATCTGGTTCAGCTAGAGACTAGGTGGAGTGGCAGGGGACAGGGCAGGAGGGGCGGAGGGTGAATTTGCAGCTCCTGGGTAAGGCAGCAAGGAGGGGAGCGGGGGGTCCCCTCTCCAGGAGGGGTGTTTAACCTAGGTGCTCTAGCGTACCTGGAGTGAGGTTTTCCCAGAGGTTCACAATAGCGTGTGCAGAGTCCAGCTGCACAGCCACCAGTTTAAAAAGAAACAGCAACGACAAAATAAATAAAAAGTCAACCCCTCCTATTAAGATGAGAATGAAACACATATTCTTCAGGTCTCAGCCTGGTTCGGAACCCTCTAAAAACTGAAGCAAACATTTAAAAGGGCTTATTAACTTTCTGCAGGGGGCAAAGTGATGTGGCAATGGGGG